CCGCCCAAACAAACCCCCTTCCTCTGCTCCATAAGGGGGAACCAAATCAAGCTTTGCTCAATCAGATGAATGTAATGTGTAGAATGAAAGGCACACACATGCATGCATGCATACAGATGCACACACACATACTTACACACGCACACACACACGCGCGCATGCGCGCACACACACGTGCACACACATGTGCACGCACACCACTCACTCAATCACTCGCTCACAATAGGACACAGTAAAGTCACTGAAATAAGTAGTCCAGCTCAGCCTTTTGTTTTAGTGACAGTGTTGATTACAGTGGGAGGGAGTGAGGAACGCCATTCCAGTACTTTCTTCTATCGTTTCACTTTTGCCCTCAAACTGAATATATGATATTATATTATATTCAGTTTATATTATATATTATATTAGGCTGTAACATTGTTTACACGTGTCTGTATATAAATTGGACCTATATGCACAAACAAATACGCTTGTGAACACAGAGGCTATACACATAATAATATAACTCCCGTTAACAATAGCCATTTTCAATTTTTTCTGTACTGTCTCATTAGATTTTATGAGCAACAATCGAATTATGTTTTTCAATAAAGAAAATGTGATTTATAAATCACTCGTTAGGGGTGGTGGTACAACAGGCAGTGAATTATGAGAAAGGACGTTATGTTGCTCAGCACAAAAAAAAAACCCCAACAGGTAATAGGTGAACAAAAAGCCAAAAACTAAAAGCTTGTAAACGTGTTGTTGCTCTGCACTGGCTGCTGTTGATCATGGAGCTCGTTCTTCCCCCCCCCCCCCCCCCCCCCCCCCGTTTGTCTTTCTCTGTTTATGATGCTGAATGTCAATTTGTTCACATTCCTTCATGGGGTCCTTTGCCTTCCTGGAAGCCATTAATGGCAGAGCGTGTTGCCAGGAAGGTTATAGACATATTATACACTTATGGTTTTCAATCATAACAAGGATGGGCCGCATGAGCCAAACGTTTACAACACAGTGTTTGTGAAATGAAAATAATCATTTTATTTGCCTGGGCAGTTTGGGATGTGTACTGCACACAGGCATCCCAAGAGAGAGAAAAAGGTCCATTATGAATTGCCTTTTAGTGATCCATCATAAACAAGCCTAGCTATTAGTAAAACGGCTGCACAGCCCAAAGCACTCCTGCTCCTCCGTCTCCACCGACGCCACCTTCAACCATACATCGCTTTAAGTCAACACAGTTCCACTGGCTGTGAACTCAGGGAGGTGATAGGGGTCTGCTGTGAAGAAATGCATTCCTCAGATACTCCAGCCGTGAGCAAAGAGAGGGAGAGAGAGAAGGGAGAGAGAGAGCGCCAGCAGGTCACGGTGAGACGGATGGCTACCTCGAGAAAGAAAGAAAGCGACATCAAATTGACTATGAAGTGTACAGCAACCAAGCATGTTTGCTCAGGGCATGCGTTGAGGGCCGCTGTGGCACTGCCCAGGTTTCGGTTGCCAGGGTCAGGCCACCTGGACGGAGGAGGGAGGTGAGAGAGAAGGAGGGAGAGACAAAGAGAGAGGGAGAAAAAGAGAGAGAGAGAGAGAGACGGAGGGGGAGCAAGAATATAGCTTGCACACCTGTTCCTGGTCAACAGTGCAATCATAGCCGCGGTCACACTACCGCTGCACAATGCTATCACGATGCCGATCTAGAGGGGCAATCTGGCGCTTATCTCTTATTGGCTCTGATTGCATCCCACTCGGGCCAATTAGAAGCCGTGCCTTCCGCTTGGCAAGGTCTTGCCCTCCCACGGCTCGGACGGCTGCTCCGCTCGACGGCTGCTGCGGCTCCGGGATGGGCTGCCAGCCAGCCAGGATGTCGGAGGAATTGCAGCGGTAAGCAAACATCACAAGACACCAGCAGCACGCTCAGTTCTCACCACATATGGATCAGCATCTGCTGTCCTTGCATAATACTGATCTAATCTTGCAATCATTCGGGCTGTCTTTCTTTTATGGTGGCTAATTCATTTTAATGTGTGGTGTGTTAAAAGTTTGCTGTATGCACACCTGCAGCGGGTAGTGGGCATGCAGGTGTTGCAAATTGCCTGCCCTGACTATCTATACGAGCTGGCGGCGGTTCCCGTATCGATTGGAGCTGCAGGTACCATTGTGGGATCGTATTCATATCTATCCATCTATCCTGGCTGTGGAAACTGTAGGCTGTATTTTGCAGCACCAGCCCAGATGACAGACTACTCAGATGCGAGACTCAAGGCCGAGTCTTCTTAGAAGTTGGGTTCGTCTATGTGGGCCGGGAGGAGCTTCTGCAAAACACTGGCAGTGTGAAGAGGGAAGGATCCTCCATTGTGAGTACAAAAACGTAAATCAATATATAAATAAAGAAAAAATACCAAGAAAGGAATGTGTGCCTGGACCCGCCCCTTCAAGGACCAGGGACCAGGAAAATACGAGAGGGTGGCATTTGTGGCTTTGAAGAGAGCCCAAAAGTCTTTCTTACTTACTTACTTTACACACATGCAACGCCACGCATACATATCTCTCACACACACACACACACACACACTCATGCACACACACTCATGCGCGTACACACACCACACCGCGAGCGGCCGGGCGCGCTTCCCTATGGAAGGAGTTGCTGATGTACGTCAGGCAAGAAAGCTGAATATCGTGTTGCCGTGGTGACAATTCACAGCCTCCTCATTAACACCCCACTGAGGCCATACTGGAAACGCTGACACAGACCCTGGCGACACGGCCCCGCGACGACCCAGGGTTAACTAAACACACACACACAGGACACACACTCACACACACACACATCACACACACATGACGACACATACACACATGCACACATGCACACTCACACACACACACACACTTCTCCCTCAGAATTCCACTTTAAAACTCCAATTGCACTAAAAGTTTCAGAAAATAAAACAGATCTTTTCAGCGCTCCTTCAGCGTCGGACTGGGCGCCCGTGTCTGTGCCAGTTGCCAGTTTGCATCTCTCCTCCAATCTGCTGTTTCCCATGGTTCTCCCCATTACACTGGTATACACACCAACCGCTACAACTATTTTCCTACATTACCAATACGGTCAACTCACCTGCACTCTACAGTCCAGGCTACACATCTGGTACTGGCAGAGGCAGGATGAAAAACATCCAGTCAATACATCCATCCTTTCCCCTCTATCCACCAGAGGAACAAAACCTTTGCCTGTGTTTGTTTACTGCTCGGGTTTGTGGCCATGGTTCTGAAGTTTTACACGACTGTAAGACAGCGGACACCATGGAAGAGACCCATGGAAAGGACAACAAACACGTACGTACACAAATAAACACAGAGAAACAAACGATGGCCAACGATCGCTAACCATGTATCGTTGGGTATGGGTAGTTGTGTGTTGCAGGTTTGGAGTGAAAAGATGTAAAGACAAAGATGTGGTTTGAAACCCACGACACGAGCACAGGCTTGGTGGAGACACAGGGGGGAGGTGTAGTAAAGACATGGATCCCAGCATCTTCTCAGGCAAGCAGAGGATTGTGTGTGTGTGCGTATGTGTGTGTGTGTGTGTGGTGTGTGTGTGTGGTGTGGTGTGTGGTGTGTTGTTGAGGTGAGGTAGGGGTCTTGGCCTGAGCAGGAGACAAGGCCCAGCATTAAATCTCAGTGAGACGTGTGATGAAGAGGGAAAGGGAGGAATGAGAGATTCCATCTCACGTGTGCTATTTTTCTGACACCCCACCCGACTACCTACCGCCACCACCACCCCCCACCCGTTTCAAGCAGGGGGAGGCTGTACAGCGTAACTCCCCTGTCAGCTCAGAGAGCAGTAAGAGCCCCATATGCACTGTGACACTGGAGAGACACGGAGAGGGACACTGGAGAGACAGGGGGGAGGACACTGGAGGGAGAGGGAGAAAGCATTTGAGTGTGTATGTTGTGTGTGTGTGTGTGTGTGGGGTGTGTGTGTGTCTCAAACAACGAGACCTAATCTCTACATGGCATAGGATGCTGTTCGCCATTCCCTCGTTTCATTTGAATGTAAATAAAGGTTTCTTTGCCACAAAGCGCATACTTCATCCAGAACAAACGCAGCCAAAACACACAGCACACAACACACTCACCAGCACACAGACACACACACACACTTCACACACACACACAAGGGACATCCAGATAATTAAGTGAAAGCCACAATCAGCAAAACAGATCCCACTTTTCAGTGAAAATGGTAGAAGTAACAGAGAGTCGCTAATCTTTGGAGTCATAGATCTGCTCCTTGAAGGTTTCAGAAGGCTGCTCAAATTGCTGGAGAGACAGCCAACGCTTGTCAGAAGCACTCAGAAATCAAACGCGCTTGGTACAGTACATATGAAAGTCTTTATGGGAGCCCTATAGTGTGCCTCACCATCATCTCTCTGTCATATCCTCCTCCATGGGCTGTGTACACTCTGTGGGTTTGGGCTACGCGGGCGTACAGAAAGCCAGCAGTTCCTGTTTGTGGGGAGTAATGGCTCGCTGGACTCCATACAACAATTATCAGGGATGATCATTTCACCCATACAGAGCTGCGCTCCCTCCAGAGCTGCATGCGGGGGCCTGCCCGCAAACGTTTCAGATGTCACACACAAAAAAAGTGTAGTTTTTGAGTTTTTTTCTGCTTTGGTCATTCTTTTCCTTTTAGTCACGGGTACGCTCACAGTGTACATTTGTCAACTGGCCACGATGACACCTTGTTACAGATGCATTGATGACCTATTTTTCTGTTGAGCTTGTATAAAAAAAAGGAAATGGGGGAAAAAAGGATCCGATTGCACCCAAAGGATGCTGGCTTACCAGTGGACCCACTGACCATTATTGTAATATCACATTTCCAACCACCATCCTTGTTTTTTATGATTTATGAGCTGCCTAATACTGCAGCAACTGGAGCCAACGTTTAACTGACACAGTGAATGAAAAGGCATCTCCATGGCGATGCAAAGAGGGATAGCAGTTTATAACTTGTGGCCGTGACTAACTCAACGGGTAGAGCATGGCATTAACATTCCCAGGGCTAGGGGGTTCGATTCCCGCTGGACCACACCCATGCTAAAAATGTATGTATGTCTAAAAATGTATTGTAAGATGAATAGATGCGTCTACCAAATGGCATATATATATACCTGTATATATATATATATATATATATATATATTCAGTCAAGAAAATGACTCACAGAGTTACTCCATTCAAAATATTTTTTTCCACCCTTGGCCATGATAACTGTCGGATATGACCTCGACCTAACCAAAATATGAACCAGCGAGAGTACGACCCATCGTAAGCCAATATGCTGCCAGGGGTCAAGGGTCACATCTGAGCTTGGGTTTGGAGAGCAAATGGAAACCACTGGGATAAGAGGAGTTTATGTTTTCACAGGCAAAATTAAAAGCAGCAGCACCAACCCCGAAAGAGGCATGAAGAGGCATATGATAACGTAAAGCCCAGTTATCCCAGCCAAGACAAAGCACTGAGCGTTGGGTCTGAAGTGGAAATTGCCTCCTTCATCCTCTGGAATTTCTCTGCAATCGTGGGGAAATGAAGGGCGAGGGGTTGTGGTCAGGGAGTGGGAGGCCAGAGTTCAAAGGTTATCTGGGGGGTAAAACTGAGACAGGAAGTTGACCCTCCTTCTTTGAACCTCTTCGGAGACTTAGAGCAATGTTTTTTAGCAATTTTTGACAAACCGTTGTTGTCAAACATGGTTTTACTTTCACACACACACACACACACACACACTCACA